TGAAATGAGAATTAAATTTATTAGCTGTTGCTTACAATATGTGTTTCTGAAAGCAGTGTAAATTCAAAAACAACAACAAAGCATTCTCTTCTGTGAAACAGATGAAGTGGTCTCCATACTTCTCTCTGGAATGAATGGTGGATATGAAGCAGGACATAAGAGTGAGCTTTGGCTTACAAACACTAGCATGACCAGGGCCTAAACTTAGCACTCCAGCCTTGTTCATGCAAGCCCTCCTCAGCATTGCCGTGTGTGTTTGGTCTTCAATTTAAGTATGGAATTGCAGGTATTAAATGATCTCTCTGGGTCTTTTTTTGCAAGGCAGCGGCAGGGGTAGTTGCATATAAATTTTGAGCTGCACTGCTCTGATGAAAATAAATTTGATGCCCACTGGTCTCCTAGAAGGTTTTACAGAATGGAGTGTGGCTCTTGAACTGAAAAAGGTCCCATACCTATGCATGCTGTATTGTATTTAAGTTCTACTCAGAGTAAACCCCTTAAAATTAATGAACCTAAGTTAATTGTGTCTATTAATTTCAGTGGGTTTACTCTGAGTAAGCCTACAATTGAATACCACCCACTTATGCCAGAATAGAGGTGTTGATAATGAAACAGTGGTACCTCGGGTTAAGTACGTAATTCGTTCCGGAGGTCTGTTCTTAACCTGAAACTGTTCCTAAAGCACCACTTTAGCTAATGGGGCCTCCTGCTGCCGCTGCATCGCCGGAGCCCGATTTCTGTTCTTATCCTGAAGCAAAGTTCTTAACCGGAAGCACTATTTCTGGGTTAGTGGAGTGTGTAACCTGAAGCGTATGTAACCCGAGGTACCACTGTAATGGGGAAGCTGATTAAAAACAAAACAAAATAATAAAAAAAACATTTCCAATGTGGTTGCTGGTTGCTGGTGAAATTTGATTGGATATGCCTGGAGAGAGGAGATGAGTTGTTTTTTTAAAAAAACCATTTATTAGGGTTGCAGGGGGCAGGGGATTTTGAATCTTGTTGAAGTGGAGGGGTGATGGTTGCTATCCTATAGACACTTATGCCAGAGTGTGTTAATAATGAGGATGGTTATCACTGATAAATATATACTTGCATATGAAGATGGTAATAAAGGATTGGAGGATGTTCTGGATGATGTTTTTGAGTATTTCCCAACCCTTGGTTTAAAATCTGTAAGATTGCAGTTTGTCTGCTGAAGGCGGTCAAACCAGTCTCTTCATTAATGGGACTGACCAAGTCACATTATACTCTAAAAATATGTCTTATGTTGCTATAGAACAGTGGTTCCCAACGTTTATTTGGCCATGCCCCTCCTAAGCATCTCTGAAATCCTGATGCCTCCCCGCCCCCGGGTGACATTTAATTCTTATTATTCAAAAAGTGAACTCCTATTCACATGGAGAAAGCCTAAAAGGCCATTCACTGTTAATAATTTATTCTCAAATTGCCCCCCTTAAAAATCAAATTGCCCCCCTGTGGACTGTGTGCCCCACATTGGGAACCACAGCTATAGAAGCAACTAGTAGCTAGCGTTATCCAGAAGGAGGGTTTGGCCTCCCCCCCCCCGCCTGGCTAGAGATTTAGAGGTGGGGGAGCATACAAGAACAGCATAATCCTAATCATGTCAAATGCTAGTGAGAGTCAGTGTTGTGCAGTGGTTAGAGTGCTGTACCTTGGAGACCAGGATTCAAATCCCCACTCAGCCATGAAGCTCACTGGGTGACGTTGGGCCAGTTACTCACTCTCAGCCTAACTTAACTTACAGGGTTGTTGGGGAGGAGAAGAGTGAGATCCTTGGAGGAAAAGTGGGATATAAATGTAACAACAACAACACCACAATAGTTCTCTGATCTTCGCTACAGTGACCATATAATGCACAGACCTCAAAAGGTCATCAAAGTCTTACAGAAATAGGATTTCAATTTTATTGAAATTCTTTTCTGGTGACCTCATTGCTCTCTTGAAGTATGTTGTGCATGTTAAGGTAAAGGTAAAGGTACCCCTGCCCGTACGGGCCAATCGTGTCCGACTCTAGGGTTGTGCGCCCATCTCACTTAAGAGGCCAGGGGCCAGCGCTGTCCGGAGACACTTCCGGGTCACATGGCCAGCGTGACGAAGCTGCTCTGGCGAGCCAGCACCAGCGCAGCACACGGAAACGCCGTTTACCTTCCCACTATAAAGCGGTACCTATTTATCTACTTGCACTTAGGGGGGCTTTCGAACTGCTAGGTGGGCAGGAGCTGGGACCGAACGACGGGAGCTCACCCCGCCGCGGGGATTCGAACCGCCGACCATACGATCGGCAAGCCCTAGGCGCTGAGGTTTTACCCACAGCGCCACCCGCGTCCCTATATGTGCATGTTACTTGATCTGTATTTGGTTCAAGCAAGACCGCATGTTGGAAATGGTGGTATCATAGAGCATAGCCTGTTGAAGGTTGCCTGTCCTGTGTTGAAAATGTTATCAGTTTTAGCAGTTCCTCTATTTTGTTTCGCTTAAAAAAAAGCAACCCTCTTTAAAGTACTTTGTATTTAGCATATGATTTTCATTTCCCAGCTGAATTTCAAGATAAAAACAAACAAGATAATTTGTGTAACAGATGAAGTTGTAATCCCTTGGCTAAAAGCAGTACTTACAGATTGCTTAGATATTTATGGGCCTAGCACCTTGAGTAGTAAATTAGTTATTTTAATAGTGTTAGCCTTATTTCAAGAAATGGACTTATGTGTTTAAGTAATCATACCCACTGCTAAGGCAGAAGTTAACCAGATCCAGGACTTCCATTGTTTTGACCCCTTTGTTCAATGACCAATGATTTTGTGCACTTGGACAATGGCAAGAATTGGTGCTCCTGCATCAGAAGGTTGGGGAAATACTTGAGCAGTGCAGCTGTGTTGCTCAGAAAGATCATTTTTATATGTGAATAAGAATTTGCCCTGGAACTGTTTAAATGCCTCTTTTTCTAGCGCTGTTAGTTCTGTAGCAAGCAAAGCCTATGGGCTGGTTGAAGGCAAGTAGGATACAGCAATAAGGATGTCACTTTGATTGCTATTGTACAAGCCTCTTTGCATTGTTGTTGCTTTGATAAAATTGTTCCTTAAATTTATGTTGCTATTTTAAGTAGACAGGTGTGTGATGATGCAATATTGAATAGATTGTGACTACTGGTGTTCAGGTTTCTAGCTTAAGTTTGTGAGTTAGCAGTGTGTTCTGTTGTAGGGATTTCATTTGCTACCAGAGTAAAATTTCGTACTTATACCTTCAACCTGAATTTTCTTGACCCCAGAATATTCAGGATGCTGCAGACATTCTAAGCTGAGCATAAAATGCTCCTGAACTTGTTAAAACACAAGAGTTAAAATTATTTTCACATTCTGCCTTAAGGTATGCTATTAAGGACATAAATGTATAACAGTGTTAACTGCTTGGAACATTTATTTGATGAAATCAAATCATTGCAGAATTTCAGGTGCAGTATTGAAGCAGTTTAGCATTGCTAAAAAGAAACGAGGAAGTGTAAACTTCATGTTTCAGCCTATTATAGCTACTTGGGATCAAGCAATTTTTCCAGTATAATAATTCTGTCTTATATTATCTGTTCTCTTAGGACTGGGCTTCCCAAACTTTATTCCCAAAGGATTCATTGAAAATTTCTGAGGGTCTTGGCGGAACATTTAATGATATTTCAGCATTAGATTTTGGGGTCTTTCAGTTTGTCTCATATTCACAAATGCATACTATTAGTTCTAGGCCTCCCCCCCTTGCCCCCCAAATAGCAGCTTACGCAGTTGGTTTGATGTTTGATTCCTTTTTTAACTACCTGATACAGCAGCAAAGATAAGCAATGGCTGCACAGGAATTAGAGGGCAGTTCAGACTTAAGGTAGGAGACCTAAGCTTTTGCCTCAAGGGCTGTAATTTTATTACTTCATTAAGTGCTTTCTCCTACATTTTAAATCTTTATACATCTCTAATTGTTCCCACTTTGTGTCTTTTTAACTCAAGACTCCTTGTTTTTCTCTAGTTGTCTTCCTCCACCATATTTTTTGCTGTGTCCATGTCAAGAAATAGCATTTGCTGGCCTCGCTATAAAAAAAACACAACCCACATGGTTCTGCAAAGGAAGCTGCTTTGATGGTAGAGAAATTTCCAGCCCTTGCGCAGCCTGTAAACAGTGCCATTAGCTAATAAATATCCCTGCCCCCTACTGCGTCTTATGTGGGATCCTGTAGTATTTTTATTGCTAGGGTGATCCCTCTTTTGGTAGCATGTGGTGCTGCAGCTGGGCCACCAAGGAGAATCCTGCTTTGTGAAGATGAACGGAGAATATGTTCCTCAGAACTGCCATGCTTAATGAGGCTAAGGTTCTGGTATTAGGAGATGTTAATGAGCTGGAGCATATAAACTAACCACAGGAAAAATCCTTTTAATGGCAGCAACAGCAGCAGTAAAAAGAAGGATGCTGTTAATACAGAAGCTGATTCACAACTTGGTGCAGTTGGAACAGAAAAACAAGTCTGAGAAACTGCCACCATCTCAAATGTGATGCTGTTGACTTTAAGAAGCAGTCTCCACTGTGAAAGAACTTGGGCCAATACACCTGAATCACCACTGCAGGATGAATGTATATGAACTCAGTGGCTTTAAAGAGTTACAGCCACAGGGAATGTTTTTAGCAGGTGCCCAAAGGAGTACAGTTGAAGGTGCCTGCTTGATCTCAATAGGCAGGGAGTTTGGAAGTCTTGTTGTTGTTTAGTCGTGTCCGACTCTTCGTGACCCCATGGACCAGAGCACGCCAGGCACTCCTGTCTTCCACTGCCTCCCGCAGTTTGGTCAAACTCATGTTGGTAGCTTCAAGAACACTGTTCAACCATCCCGTCCTCTGTCGTCCCCTTCTCCTTGTGCCTGTCTCCTTCTCCTTGAGTTCTTACAAATGCAGAACAGGAATTATGTAGCAACCTGTAGTAGTGCCAATTCTGCTGACTGAAACAGTTGAGTGGGCACAACGTACTCCAAAACTCCAGATGATCCCACTCAGCGTTTTCATTGAAGGCTGCATGAAGGCTGCAAGTAGGACTGGAACCACTGCAAAGTAGTGTCACCTACCCCTAACTCAGACAGTCGCTCCAGAAGGATACCATGGTTGATGGCATCGAAAGCAGCTGAAAGGTTGATGAGAATTAACAAGGACAAAATTTCCCTGTCTCTCTCCCGACAATTACGGTAACTTCCTAGGTGCTATAGTCAGATTTCAAAGGCCCTTTCCTGTCTGTTCTGTTTTATTTGGGGAGTTTACCATTAAACTTAGAGATATAGATAGAGATATCAGCCATACTTGTACATGTTTCCCATATTGCATTAAAAGCAATTCTACCTGTAGTTTGGGCAGCTGAAATTAAAAAGTGAATCTTATTATCCTCCAGCAGATACAGCCTAGCTACAGATATGAAGCTGCATTTTACAGTGGTCATGTTGATTTCAAAAGCAACTCTTGCAAACAATATGAACATGAAGGAAACCACATAGTGCTGATTTCCTCTTGAACATTTGGGGTAAGAGGCCTGGTTGCAATGCTTAGACAATAGGGTAATTTGTAATATCTAGCTGGAAATGTTACTGCCCATGTTTTGTCATCTATTTTGTCTCCAATTTGTTCAGTTCTTCGTATAAAAAAGTGCCTTCTAGAGAGGCCTGCAAAACTAGATCTAGAGGGCAATTCTGCTGTTTTCCCCAATCCTATTTAATGCAGTGTTGTAAATAATGGGCCAAATAATGATTGCAGATGTTCTAATCATCAGCCTCCCTTTCCCAAACAGTTTAAGGGCCTGTTTGCAAAGAATTGTTCTGAAGAACTGAGTGATATTACTGAAAATAAATCTGTGCTAACTTTTTATAGATTCCCTAGTCAGTCTTTTTCACAGGACCCAGGGGCTGCAAACCAAAGATGCTTCAGCCTGGCAACTGCATACTTAATGAGCATTAAAGGCACTTACAGCACAGGATATAGTCCTGCAGTGGGAAAATTGTACAGCTGTTATGAAGAGTTTTATGTAGCTGTACATGTCATGGCTGAATTGACCATTGTCATCTTCTGATCAAGATTAATAAAGCAGCTCAACAGTCTTTCAGATATTATTTTTCCATTTGCTGTTTGAAGATAGCACTGGGAGATGTGTTGGAAGAAGCTAGAAGGTGAATTCTGCTTTTCTTCAATAAATCCCCTAGACTGTTTGGGGAAAACAGATGGCTTCACACATCTGTAAAAACAATGTAAGCTCTCTGGCCATAGTTTCCACTCCATTTATTTCAGAACTGATATCACCAAAGGAAACAAAAGAGACAAATCCTGAAAATGGTACTGATACTGATCTGTATACTAATGCTGATTCAAGTCTCTCTGGGCTTGGGCTTGTGTCGCCAAAACTACTTCATCAACACACAAGAGATTGGTACTGGCAGACTCACAATGTGAGGTATGCACAAGTAGAAAAAAATGGCTGAAAAGAACCTAAGGCAGGGTGGGTACCCCAAAAGCACTGTGATGACCCAGTGATATGGAGTGTACTTTAGGCATTTTCCTGAACACATGAGGGTTAAAAGTGTGTAAAAGCAAGCCCTAACTCTCTTGTTCTTTTGCACATGGGCTGTTTGCAGACATTTGCATGTTGAGTTCCATCCAGTTAGATTTAGTGGGAAATAGAGTAGCTAGAACAGGAGGACCGAATATATAGCTATATATATTTGTGTGGCTCAGTCATTTTTTGGTTCTTGTAGATAAGCTATTTTTCAGTGTTCCTACAGCTGGAAGAGAGCTTTCTGCAGACATCAACAGATAAACTAAAGCTTGGATTAGGCACAAATATGTCCCATACATAAACTCCACCCCCCAAGTCAAAATGGAGAACAGAAATCCCAAAGGAGAAACAAAACCACTCAATAAGAGGACTAAGTTGGCTCAGTGGGGATGGGATTTTGATTGCCTGTTTGGCTAGGGGATAGATGACTGGAATGGGATGGAAAGGCATAGATTGATCCCTGAACAGAAGCACCTTAAATAAGAAGTATTTTGTGGTGACAGCTGTGAGCATGAAACATGGAGGTGGTGTTTGATAATTTTCCCAGTTGAATTAAAAGTGTGTAGATGCCCTAATGCTTTAGTTTAACTGTATTTTGGTTTTCTATCATCTGGTCTTTAATCTGTGATCTTTTATATTGAAAGGAATTAGCATTTGTGAAATGAACCGGGGCAGCGTTAGACAGGAACCACCTGATGTACGAACTGATAATGGGGCCTTGAGCATGTAACAATTTTTCAGTCAATTTTCAGTTATCTATAAAATGGGAATGGTGATAACCTGCTGCACATGGTTGTTGCAGATGAGATACTACTATTAATCATAAATCACTTTGCCATTTGAAACTGCTACAAGTTTTACCATTAATCCATTCACCCCAAGGATCCTGAATACTCTTGGGTAAATAATTCTGTCCTAACTTCTGCTCACCCTCCTTTAAAATATGAATGAAAATGCTGGTTTTATTTAGAGCACTAGAAGTGAAAAATAAATATTGACGTCCTAAGTAACATAGATAGCAATGATATTTGTTGTTAGGTTTTTCCTTAGGAGTGTTACCTGTTACAGTAAATAGTTGAGTTATTTCATTAAACATAAATGTATGTATTCAATATTAAAGATGTTAAAAATGTAAACTCACCACCCCACCTTTTCAATTCAATGTCATACAGTAGGAATGCTCTCTGAACTGATGGTGTCAGAGGCATCCAAAGCAGTAAGTCTTCTTTGTTTGGTGATCACTCGTAGCTGAGTAAGATTGTCTTCCATGTACACGGTCTTAACGGTGTGTCCGTAGGTGACTGCAGAGGCCAATTTTGGATCCACACATCTTTCCACAGTCCTCAACTCCGGGCAGGAGTTGATCATGGTGGGGGGTTTGCAAAATGTGCTTTCCTCTTAGCACATTTCTCCATTTCGTCTTGAACATCCACAACAGTTTTGGTAAAGGCTGTTCTCCAACTGGAGTGCTCACAGGTCAGTGTTTCCCAATTGTCGGTGTTTATACTACATTTTTTAAAATTTGCCTTGAGGGTGTTTGTAAGTTCAGAATAGAGTAGTTGCTTTGGAAGATGATAATCAGGCATCCGAACAACATGACCAGTCCAACGAAGTTGATGTTGAAGAATCATTGCTTTGACACTGGTGATCTTTGCTTCTTCCAGTACACTGGCATTAGTTCACCTGTCTTCCCGAGTGATGTGTAAAAATTTTTGGAGACACCATTGATGGAATCTTTCAAGGAGTTGGAGATGGGTTTATAAGTGGTCCATGTTTCACAAGCATACCGTAAGGTTGGTAGTACAACAGCTTTGTAAGCATGCATTTTAGATTCCCTGTGAATGTCCCAGTCCTCAAACACTCTGTACTTCAATTGGGAAAAAGCTGCACTTGGAGAGCTCAGGCGGTGCTGGATTTCAGCATCAATGTCGGCCCTTGTAGACAGATAACTGCCCAGGTAGGAGAAGTGATTGACACCTTTCAACACTACAGCATTGAGTTGGATTTGTAGCGCTGCAGAGCGGTTGTTTTGTGCTTGTTGCTGCAGCACTTTGTTGTTGTTTTTTTGATGTTGAGTGATAGGCCAAGCTTTTCATAAGCTTCTGCGAAGATATTTAGGATGGTTTGGAGGTCATTCTCTAAGTGTGCACACACTGCGTTGTCATCAGCATATTGAAGCTCTGTGATGGAAGTTATGGTAACCTTACTCTTTGCTTTCAGCCTACTCAGGTTAAAGAGCTTTCCATCTGTTTGATAAATGATTTCTACTCTGGTGAGGAGTTTCCCTTCGAAAATGTGTAGGATTATGGCAATGAAGATAATAAACAGAGTTGGGGCGATCACACACCCCTATGTTAACATCATACAGTAGGGATACAGTAGGAATGGGATGTGGGTGGCACTGTGGTCTAAACCACTGAGCCTCTTGGGCTTGCTGATCAGCAGGTCAACGGTTTGAATCCCTGCGACGGAGTGAGTTCCCGTTCCTCTGCCCCAGTTCCTGCCAACCTAGCAGTTTGAAAGTATGCCAGTGCAGATAGGTAATTAGGTACTGCTGCGGTGTTTCCGTGCACTATGGCTTCCATCACAGGTGTTCAGTTGCGCCAGAAGTGGTTTAGTCATACTGGCCACATGACCCAGGAAGCTATCTGTAGACAAACATCGGCTCCCTCAGCCTGAAAGCGAGATGAGCACTGCAACCCCATAGTCACCTTTGACTGGACTTAACCGTCCAGGGGTCCTTCACCTTTTTTTACCTTTACAGTAGGAATGTTCTGTGAACTGATTGTGCCAGAGGCATCCAAAGTAGCAAGTAGTGTTGAAATATGTGGACAGGTTTGTTTATACTGGCATTTATTTATTATATTTAGAGACCACCTTTATCTTCCAAAGATATTAAGGTGGTATACATGGTTCTCCTTCTCCTTCTCCTTCTCCTTCTCCTCTCCTTCTCCTCTCCTTCTCCTTCTCCTCCTTCTCCCCATTTCATCCTTACAGGGACCCTGTGAGGTAGCTTAGGCTAAGAGATGTTGACTGGCCCATGGTCACCTAGTGAGCTTCAAGGCTGAGTGGGGATTTGAACTCTCCTATCTCAGGTCCTAGTCCAACACTAACCATTATGCCAGACTGGCTGTGTTCGTTTAGTTTCTTTTTAAAGAAGTAGGATACTTTAGGACACATACTTGTTAGGGTTTTATTCTTGTATCTGTACACAATAAGCAACCTTATTTTTATTAATATAGTAGATGCAGTCTTGTATCCTGTGTAATAATACAGTGGGCTTGCTATGCTTAGTGCATTTTTCAGTTTTATTTTGTTTGCGGGTTAACTTTCATTCTTCTGTCTGTTCACTGGGCGATAGCACAGTCATCAGAAATAACAGCTGTTGGCAGCAGCTTGAACTCATGGAAGTTACTGGCTAGGTTGCTGTCATTAACTATTTGGCTGCTGGCTAGAGAAAAGATGAGACCATATTGATTGTTGAACAGAACAACTATATTGCTAAGAAAAAATTGGAGTAAAGGCACCAATTCTGGGCACGGCACCACCTATTGTTGGGAAGGCAACATTACAGTTACACCTCCACATTTTTTTCTCATTGGTACAGTACTCCGTGCCAAAGGGAATTTGAGTTGTATCAACTCTGTTTCCTCTCTGCCCCAGTGATTTCAGCCATAGAAGGGATAGATACCATTTTTGAAACAGAAAATCTGAGTAAGACTGAAAGCAGCATGATTAGGTTTCAGTCAGGCTGTCAGGAGAAATATTCTGTTGAACTTTCTGAATGCAAGATCTTCTTTGGCTGTGAAAGAACTGGGGGAAAATGCAGAATTTTTTTAGTGATAGTTCACAAGAGAAAACAGAATAAAGAACTGCTTTACTGTGGCTTGTAACATAGAAGATCCAATCTCGAACTTGGCTCTCTGGGAGTTCCTTTAAACTCTTAGGCGTCTTTTAGCTGGTATGGTCTCATTCATCAGTGGAAACCTATATTTTATAGCCTTGGCAGTGTATGATTAACTTCTAGATGAGAGTATATTTTGTTTCTTCTCACCTGCCCACCACCCACCAGTAAGCCCAGAAATATACTGCAATGTTACTGATTTGTTGTACAAGGACTGTCCATGTTCATGCTGTTGGAAAAAAAAATGAAATGCTGAATTGCTTTTGTATTTTATTGTAGATTGCTAATTTTATTTCCTATTTAACAGTTCCTGCAATTCTAGAAGTCACTGGAGCTTTGTAAGTTCAGCTTAAAAGCATTTTAAATAGTCATTGGGCTGTGGAATGATAGCATCAATCTTCTGTGCTATTATTATATCTAGAAAACTGGATTGGATATCCATTTTCATATTTAAAGCTAAATTACTGGCAAACAGCCATATCATCTAAAACACAGAGAGTGGTAACCTGTGTAAAAGGCTTCTGTGACTGTAATGGCAATACCTATGGGTGCAGGATATTTTTCAGCAAATCAGAATCCGTTGGTAACAAAATGACTTCTGAAGAAGGTCTTTTATCCTTTTAAGCAGTTCCCTTTTTAATTCTTTCATTTTCAAGCTTATTCCATACTTTATAGTCTACCTACTAATAATGATTAGATCTGTTTAATTGGAACGTTATAAGCTTCAATTACTAGCTTGTCCACTGATAACGCTGCTTTGGAATGGGGGGGCTGAGTGAGGGTGGATTTCTTTTTAAAATTAAATAGAAACTTAACAGCGCAATGTAAGTCTGTGGCAAATTGAATTAATTTCCTGTTCCACTTCTGCTTAAGGTAGACAGATAAATAGCTGGTTTTTAAAGGTTTTCTTCAATCAATTGCTCACTACCATTTAAGAGTTTTATTTCCTAATTATTCCACCCCACCTTCCAGTCCCCCAAATATCTATTAGGCCTCTCTGATCTGAGGCCAATAGCAATATACTTATCTGGCAAAAGTAAAATGGAATCCTAAGCTTCCTAGCAACATTGCTTGTCCAGCCCTTCAGCAGGGTTCTCAAGTTCAAAGATGCAAGGCTTTTTAATAACCCTGTTTTAATTGTTCCAGTCCCTTCCCTTCCTGAGAACCTTGCTGTTGCTTCTTTATTGCCTATTCTTCCCTTATCAGTAGTGACAGGAAGTGCAGCCACATCAGAGGATACTGTCTGGCAAATGACTCTTTCTGTGTTGGCAATGGAAGGGCGGGGGAGCCAAAGGATAATCTTAGAATAATGAATTCTGAGAAAAGCTGTTCATATAGTAGTTTTAACTGTGCAAGACAAGCCCCCTTTCTCTCTGCCTTATGTTCTCTGCTTCACACTTTTTTCCGAGAGAATTAATGTACTCTGAAAAGGGCATGGGCGCTTGTTCAAAAATGTCTCCATATGACATCTCTGGAGAGAAATTTAGCCAATGCGGGAGAAAACATTTACAGATAATTTAACCAAAGGGCTGGGCTCAGTTGCTCCTTGCTAGCAAAAATACTGCGGATACTGCATACAAAATAAGATGCGCACTTCCAAAACTTCTCAGGAACTAGGTCAAAGGAAGTTAGTTCATGGTGTACTGTGCACCGCTGATACAGGAGGAAGGCAAATATTTCGGCATGTCACTGTGTTCATACTTGTCGTGTACATAATGGGATTGCAGGACAGCTTTCAGTTTGAAACTATAAAAAAAGGGATCATGAAATAAATCTCTCCCTACCAAAAACAAACTTTCACCAAATACAACAGTCTGCCTGTATTCTGCCTCATTTCTAACTTTTTTGCAATGCAAAAATATGTATAAGCAACTATTTTGGATATTTCTGTAGGAAATATAGGAGCAGCATATTTTTAAAAATTACATTTTGATGGGTGGTTCTAGGTCATTTGACAAAAAAGCTGCAACATTTCCCCTTTGTTATTATAGCAGACCTTAGGCTCAGGCCTAACACCAGAACTGCAGTGTATGTTGACCCCTTGTCCCTTGACTTGGTGCTTGAGAGAGTAACTCACCTTTACCACTGGGGTAGCTGCCTCCTATTCTACAGTCCCAGCTCTTGAGCAGAAGTATTGTATGAGGAATGATGTTTTGGAATAATGTGCATAGCAGACTAGAGACATCCTAAGGCCTGTGGGAATGACCTAATTTCCCTTGCACTGGCAAATAAGTGATTGGGATTTGGAATAGGGAAACAGATGCAGCAGAGACTGACATTCTTGACATAGATGGAATTGGGTTGTCTGGCATTTTCATTGAATAGAACAGTGGAACTGCATATGGGTAAAAGTAATGTGGGAGGAGCCATAGCTTATTAGAGGTATCCATTTTAGTCCCTTTTGCTTTTCAGCTAAAGGCTCTTGCATAGCAAGGCTGGAAAATACCTCCCTCTGTGAGACCCTGGAAATTTACTGACAGTCAAAGAAGTTTAGACTAGATGGACCAGCAGTCTGATTTGTTAGAAGGCAATCTTGTATGTTTCATTTTCATGTATTCCCAGGTTTCATTTTATGTTGTTGGTGTTGGGAACAGCTCTAGCTATGGTTCTGGTAACTTTACTCCCTGGTCTTATAATGTAGCCTTGCCTCATGATTAATCCATGGATGCTTCATGTCTGTGAATCTCTAATCATATATAACACTACTTCTAGATTAGTGTAAACTGCTGGTTTTCAGACGTCAATGGGTTATCATCTATGTACATGTACACGCACAGCTTTTAAATGTACATCAAAGCAGGGGCTTGTAAGTTTTGAGTTCAGTATTGTGGCGTGTAAGAGTTAAAGTAGACTTACTTACAAAGTTCTGGAAGCACAATAGACTTGGAAACAGCTGGGTTTGAAGTAATTATTGTGGAAGGAAAGGAAGATTGAGGAATCTGGATGAGAAATTTTCACACTCTTACTGTTGACATCTATTCTTGTGCATCTTCTGTCCAAGGGTTATGTAATACTTGATAGTTAAAAGTACATCCCACTGGACTAAGAATATTGTTGGGTTTTTAAATTAGCAGACACAAGATCCTTCTGCTGAGTTGTCTTGACTTTGCATACTTTTTGGCCTATGAGTTCATATAGAGAGCAGCAAATATCATTTTTGGACAGGATTTAATTAAAAATCCAATTCTGATTCTTTACTGCTGTCACGTTACAAACTCATAAGCAAGAATGGCTTGAACCATAGCAACTAGTAAATCATGTGATGCTTACCAAGTATTATCAATTTTGTATTTTCACCCTAATAAACTTTACAGCGAATTGATGAAATGCTTACCTCTAGGTGTTTGAATGTAAGACACTTTAGCCTAGACTCGTCCCATTTATTTTAGTGGGTTGTACTTCCAAGTAAATATCCTTTCAAATTGTTGCCTTACAGTATTTCCAGTTCTTCCATTTTTACAATGATGTTTGTACATCACTCTAATGTGATGATTTCACAAGTGTACAGTGGTGCCTCACAAGACGAAATTAATCCGTTCCGCGAGTGTCTTCGTCTAGCTTTTTTTTTCGTCTTGCGAAGCAACCCTATTAGCGGATTAGCGCTATTAGCGGTTTAGCGGCTATTAAAGGCTTATCGGCTTAGCGGATTAGCTGCTAAAAGGCTATTAAAGGCTTAGCGGCTTAGATAAAGGGGGGGGAAGCGGAAAAAAAATCTCAAGACTCGCAAGACATTTTTGTCTTGCGAAGCAAGCCCATAGGGAAATTCGTCCTGCGAAGCAACTCAAAAACGGAAAACCCTTTCGTCTAGCGGGTTTTCCGTCTTGCAAGGCATTCGTCTTGCGGGGCACCACTGTATAGGCTTCTTGAGGAGCTGCTCATGGATGCTTTGCTGTCTCTGCTCATTATGCTGCTGTGGTTATGCCATGTCATCCAAACCCAGGCTCATGATTTATCCCACCCAGACAAACCATAGGACAAACCTTGGTTAATAACTCTTGGCTAGCCTGGAGAGCGCTATATCAAAAGCATGTGTTCAGATGACATGCTAAGCCAAGCCATTGCTTAGATCAGTGCAACACAGCATCAAAACGGGTGAGGAACAAGTAGCAATAATCTCCTCTCCTGAGGACCAGATGGTCACAGATTCATGCTAAATAATTGCTCAGCTTCATGTGATGTGTGAATGAGGCCTGTTCCAAACTGGACTTTCAGAAGAAGTCCCATGTCAAAATATGTAATGATGTGGCCAAGAACAGGCATTTTATTGAATAACTATTGACATTTCTCTCACTATTTTCACCATCTGTTAGCGCATGTGCAACAGATGAATATGTCTGATGCAGATTTAGTTGTGGGTTGCTCTACCAATGAGGCATATCACCTCAGGTGGTAAAATGATCAATTATTTAGTTCTATTTTTACTACAGTGAGTGGAATAATTTGGATCCTCCCCCCCTCAAATACCAACACTTCCTGGTTAGGCAGTCAGATATCTGTGCCTACTCAGTGGCTTCTCTTGTTGAAATTCTTTATCTCCAGATCCTCAGGCCATTTTTCTTTTTTGTACCCTTACCATACTTGGCCATAGAGTATTGTTTGGCCATGGAAACTGTGTTTCATGCCAGGATGCTAATGCGTGACATAGTAATGCCTTTTCCTCTCTTCAGTGTATAGTCAAACAGCCCCCACATATGGAACTGGGGAAAGAGTTTCCAGGCCAAAAGGTATCGGATCCATGGTCAAACTAAATATGCTAACATTCATATAATTTGTAGCTGCAATGGTTCTTCTTTTTATAAAAAGGAAATACAGGGTGTCTGATCTGGATCATGACCCTGACAGAAGGGTAAGGTCTCTCAGCAGGAGTCTTGATATGAGGGTTGCAGAAATGCCTGCTTTCTAATTTAATGTATATACATATTATACAACTTCCATTTGTATTAATACTGCCATGTTTAGCTTTGTCTCCAGGCAGGCTAAAAAAACCTGGCACTTCTTACTTCAGAAATTAAGCGTTACTTCTCCACCTCCTCCAAAAAGCAAAACTCTCCTGTGAGCTACAGTGCATGCCCTCCCCCAATACACGCACAGGGCACTTCGGTGCCCTATACCCCACCAAGATTTACGGAATCACACTGAGCAGAAGATGGAATATCTGGAGGGGGAAAGTGTTCCTTTATTTGGCAAACATTGTCAGGATTCCTGTTCTAAAATAACACGGCAGATGGTGCTCAGTTGACAACTCCAGGGTGATTCCTGCTCATGAGGAAAAAGGAAAAAAACAAAAACAAAAATCCAGCTCCCATTGAAGTACTTCGTAAAGCTTGAAGTTTGGTTGTTAGCTGTTTCGTTGTGTCATTTGTTATACAATGATGTAAGGGCAATTAACATACTACATTTTTAGTTGAGGAAATGCTGGTGCTTTCTCCTTTAGGGTTGCATGTTCTGAGCTGGAATCCAGCAAGCATGCTGCACATGCGCTTTCCTGGGTTTCCAGAAATGGGAAGCATACACAATTCATTCTCAGCAGGAATATGTCACTTGTGAATCAGACTCGACAGTTTTTTAGGAAAGGCAAAGTGAGATATATTTATTTCATTTTTAAAAATTTAAAGGCATTAATTGATTTTAGTGAATTTAGATTGGGTCCTTCTGTTTTATTTAATCAGGATGATGTGGCCGATTTTTCCAAAGACAGGAGTTTTAGGGAATAAAATGGAGTAGGTTTTTATTTAATATGTAGAAGCTGAATATTGACTCAGTTGATCTCTCTACATTTTTGTCCTCTCCTTTGAGAAAATCAACCTACTCCTGTATCATCAGGAGTGTCCAATGAGCTGTGGTAATTTTGCAGTATAAATATTGTAGTTTGACAGCCACTGTCTTGTGACCATTTTTTGTACAATAGCCTCCACAGGGGACGTAATAGATAAAAACCTGGCTTCCTTGTATTTTCAACAAAGCAGATTCATCTTTAAATTTCTTTAGCTGGAAACAAATCACCATTTATTGTGCCACATGAACTTGCCATGTGTTGGCTGTGATGGTTGCTTGTAACCTTTGCTTATGCCAGGTATTAACATGTCTCCTGTATCCTTTGGCTTATGAATAGTTGTTGGGTGGACAGTGATGCTGGTCATACCTCATAGCCAGAAATTATAGATGGACCATCTCTCTGTATGTTTAGAGCTGCCACTTCATAAGTATAGTTATTGGCCATTGTCTCACTCATAGAGATACCTAATGTAGCAAATTGTTAAAATGCCACTAAAAGCCTATAACATATAGCTTTGGAGAAGATTACATTATTACATTTTTATGCAATTATTCCCTGTTCCTTCCACCATTTTTATTAATACCTTCCCCACCCACACGAAGTGATTTATGAAATGTATGCCCATTTTAAAAACTGATGCTGGGCATACAGCAAAACAACAAAGGTGATTTATTTCTTTTACTTCATTTAGAAACTACTAAGTTCTAAGAAGGAGCACTGATGCATAATCAAATTAATGACTACAAACCTTGGTTACTATTAGCTTGCTCCAGGGTGTTTATCTAACACCTGGTGAGAACCAACTAAGACTGGAATCTGTTGACTTGCTCTAAATATTACAAACTGTTCCTGCAGTAATTATTCACAGAACTATACAATTAGGAAAGGATGGAAAGGTCATTGAGTCCATGAATGTTCTGTATTTGGCATTCCTAACATTGTTTTGTCCATGAAAATTTTAGTGGAA